CCCCCCCCCCCCCCCCACGCTCACCCTCCTCCACGTCTCGTCTCAGGTCGGATCCTTCCAAGCGAAATCTGCCAACGGGTGGACAAAAATTGTCGGAGCGCATCGCAGCCTTGCAGCGCAAAGCGTCCGATGGCTCACCATCCACCAACGCATCATCTTCAAGCTCCTCAGGACCCGCTTCGAGTGGTATGGGCGTACGAACACCCTCGGGTTCTTCCTTGACCGTGCCCGGCTCACGTTCAGTTTCGGGTGGTGGTGGCAGCAGCAGCGTCGGGAGCAATGCTCGAAGCGTTCAGGATCGTATAGCTCGATTTCAAGCAGGTGTGGAAACGGCTGGTGAAAAGCCCTTGATACCCAGGAGCAGCTTTGGTGCGCCTGCACCCGCACCTGGAGCAGGACAAGGCGCTCTGAAACCGTACCAGGGAGGCGGTAGCGGTGCTTGGGGTGAAGGCGTGCTCAGACCTCAGCTTACAGGAGGCGCTTGGTTGGGCAACAATAGAGGTGGCCCTTGGGCTGATGGACAGGTCAAACCGCAGTACACTGGCGCTAGTGGGCCCGGACCTCGACCTCAGATGACTGGAGGTGCTTGGGGAAGATGTGAGTATTGCTTCGCCAGTCTAGGGAGATGGAGGCGAAATGTGTGCGGAGGGTGAATGCGTCTGCTCGAGCAGTGCAGATGTATGCGTTCGAGGACCATGTGGCTCGTGTGCAGGATGGCGTTGCTTTGAGAATTGGCCAGAGGATCTCGGTAAACGATTTGGCGAATTGACGACCTCGTACTGCTCGGCATCTCTTGCAGCTCGAGACTTTAGCGATCAGCCACGCATGCCGGGAGTAGGCAAAGACGCTTTCCTGGAATTGGACGAAGATGCGCGCCTAAGCAAGGCTCGCAGCCCTTCTCCGCTATCTGGTGCAGGCAGCGCAGCGGGCTCGCCAGCTCGAGATAAACCACCTACTAGCCGTAGACTATCCGCTTTCAGCACGGCCCAGCTGGACGCTGCTAGTGCGGGATTAGCCAGATCTTCAAGCCTTCGCAGGTCAGCTAGCGAGAGCACCGAGCCGGAACCTCCCAAGAGCCCGTTGAAGCCACCGTCTTTCGCTCCGAGCAGCGCAAATCAATCGATGAGAGACTTGCCTGATACTCCCACCACCGAGCCCGGTAGCTTGTCCGCTGCGGGAAGCAAGACTAGCAGCGCAGACGTCTTTGGAACGCCAGCCAAGACGAACGGAAACGTGAGCGAAAGCGGTAGCACCACGGCGTGCAAGCTCGCGAACGCTGAACACTCTTATTCAACGCTCTTTACTCACCAGATGCCCAGATTGCCAGATCCCCCGACCACCTTGCCCACTCCGCCAACTACTGGAAGCACGAGCGCAAATTCGGACATCGAGATCGAAGTAGCCAATGCATCTCCGACAAAAATGGCGGCGCTGCGGCGGCAGTTGGATGATTCAGAGCACTTGGGGGCTTCGCGCCGCGCAGCAAGCGTTGCTGCTCGCAGTGAGGCGAGCGACGATGGTGGAGCATCCGCCATTGGCCGATTAGCGCTGCACGAATCTTCGTCTGACGAAGTGGACAGCAGATCCACTTCGCCCACCGATGCCTTTGTCAGGTCCCCGCCTTCCGCAGGTAAACCCGCTTTATTAGGCTCCGACTTGCCTGCGCGAGCGCAGGTGGAGAGGACCAGCTCGGGCAGAGTCGATCCGACGGACCCAAAAGCTCATGAGGTGCAGGGACCAGAGTTGCTGGTTCCCTCTGACGATGCGGCCAAGAGGTACAGTTCGTCCAGCACCGCTTCGGAGGCTGGCGTCAAGGTGCTTGGGTACGACGCCAATGCTGTCGCAGCTTATCGAGAAGGCAACGCCACATACAGCGCGAGCCCGGGCCGAAAGGTCGAAGGTGCAAGCCCCACTACGGCGAAAGTTGCAGGCGATGCGCCAACTTCTAGAGATGCCACAAATACAGTGCGCAGCTCAGAGAGAGAATTGCACGCGTCCAAGGCTTCGGCAGCGAATGCTGGGCCGAAACGCAGCGCCACGCTGGGCAACTTCCCGACGACCGAGAGCGGACCTGATTCGTCGAATGGCAATTCGGTCGAAACGGCACAGAGAGCCAGAGATGCTATCAACCTCGGAAGGAGCAAAAGTCAGAAACTTAGAAGACCTCCACCTGGCGTGATGCTCACTGCAGCAGACTTGGATGCCAGCGACGACGAGTACGAGTGAGTATAGGCCCGCGTGATGTTGTTTTCTTCTGAATCACGCTGCTGATGGGGCTCGCTTGACTTTAACCTCATTCTTTGCGCGCTTCAGACCTGGTTGGGCTTCCGTCATCTCTTCTTCGCGCAATTGATGGATGAAAGCGCAATTGATGGATGAAGCGTCCCTCATCATACCCTCGCATTCTCCACCTGTTCGAACGCGTCACATGTGGCCCGTCCTTCGCGTTTGAATCGTGAAACGTCTACGATTCACATCCGCGGCTGATTCTTTCAAAGAGCCTCACGTCGGCTACATCAAAGGGAAGCGGCTCGACAGTCACCCATTCACACACGCTCTCTCTTTCTCTTGTTTATCTCCCCCACCTTTCCCGTGTCAAGTATCGAATCTTCCCAGCTCGGAGCCAATTGGCGACTGGCATAGATCGCGCAGCATCGCTCCACGCTCCCTTCACCCTCATTCGTGAAATCTGTGCGGTTCATACGCATCGTCTTGTTCCCATTCCCCTGGGCAAGCCACCTCTGGTCCCTGAACCTCTGCGCTCTCTCGCCGCCATCAAAAAAAAAGCCTTCTTCTGTCCCCCCTTTTTGCTCTACTGCAATCGGATCTTGCCGCACTCAACCTCGCGTTCGTGGCCCAGCAAGACGACGTGATACTGAGTGGAAGAGACGAACTGAACTGACTGGGGTCGGCTGCGCACGCGCTACACTCAAACTTTACCTTTGGCTTTTCTCGAGTATGAAGCGCTAGCAAAGGATATCGAGATTCCAAGCACACCAGAGCTATTTGCGCTGATCGTCTCTCTAGGCAAGCTTTGTCCGGGGTCAAGAGGGAAAAGGGCAGGGCGGAACACATGTGGATGTGCGAAAGAGTCCTAGAGGGAAGAAGAGATTCGAATGCCAATGGGTGTCTATTGCCTGACTCGCTTCGGCCGAGATTGAGCGACGCTTGCAGGTCTTTTGGTCACCTCTTTGATGACGTCTGGCTTGGTAGGTGCCGCACCCGTCTGCGGCTGGGGATTCGCATTGGCATTCACTGTTCGCAGCACGCCCCGCGTGGTGACCGAGGGCTGATCCGCAGAGGCAGATACCAAAGAGGTCCGAGCTGATGGCGCCTCGCGACCGGAAGTCTTGCGGGTCATCGCGACCGACGATGCAGATGCCAGACTGCCGTTGCTTCCTCGCGAAGCTTGCGACGTCCTGGTTTTCCGGACAGGTCGCAACGTCTCGTCGTTGTCTTGACCTCTCATGTCCGCAATGATCGAATCGTCCCCTTCCATCTCATCGCCCTCGTCCTGCTCATTCAAGGTGCTACCTCCCGCTTCGCTCTCGGAGTAGACGATCGAGAGCGATGTGACGCCCTCATGCTCCGCGGCTTCGACGCGCTGGCGGTGTTGCACCAGCGCTTTGCCTCGGTTGGTCGGCACCAGCTTCCAGTCCTTTGTGGCTGGCCAGTCACGTTTTTGAGGCGTGGCGCCAGTGGACACATCTGTAGCTGCCCGATCGAGCAAAGAGGAGACTTCTGAGCGCATGCTTGAAAGATTCTCATCCACCTTGGCAGTATAATTGCGCTGGGCGGTCTGAGCTGCATTGAGCTAGAAGAAAAGCGCGCTTGCTGTGTCAGTCTCAGCTGGCGGGTTCCACCAGAGGATACAAGAGTCGGGCTCACGCTGTCCATGGTGTTCCCAGACGTCTGCGTGGTGTCATGCAATGAGTCCTGCAGCGTACTTTGCATGCCGCGGTAAGACGATGCGACATCATCCGCGAGCTGTTGGAGGCCATCCTGCTGTGCAACACAAGAAGACTCTGCTTGCTCCCGTACTGTCAGGTTTGAAGCACCAGAGCGACAGTGGTCAGCAATGATATCACAAGGTATGCCTCGGGACAGGCACCTCACATTGATCAGCTGCGCTGTTGAGCACTCCGGATTTCTCATCCAGGCTAGCAATGTGCGCGTCAAATCCTTCGCCAAGCTCAGACTGCATCGTAGAAAGGCCATCCTCGGTGCTCTTGATCCCCTTGTCCAAAAAGCTGGTGCCTTTCTTGAACAACTTTCTCGAAGTCTTCTCCTGATCGGTCAGGAATCCGACGTGCGAGTTGCCTGCTTCGATGAAGTCTTGCAAATGTTGATCGTGCTCTGAAAAGTATTCCGCCCTCGACTGGTCTAGCTGCCGGCTCTCATCTTGAGCGCGCTCCGTGCTCTTCGTCAGGCTCGTCTTATGCTGCGCTGTGGCCTGCTCGAGCCATTGTGTCACATTTGTGATGAGCCCCGCTTTCATCTGGTCCATTGCAAGCGTCGCCTCGTCGAGCATGCTTGCCAGTCGGGCGTTCTGATCCTTGAGGCACTGCGCCTCATACTCAGCCCTCTCTTCTGCATGAGACCGCAGCTTACTAATTCGTTCCGAATGAGCAACGTTATGCTCTCTGGCCGCGATGAACATGTCGCCGGCGATCTGAGACATACCAGTCAAGCTAGATCGGACCTTTTCAAAAGCTGCGGCCTGACCGTCCACAATATGCTGCGACAGCTCGGCTGCCCGTTCTTTGAGCGCAACAACATTCGTCTCGGCAGCTTGCTTTAGTGCTTGCCGCGTCGCCTCGATCTCCTGCGTAATCTCGCCAATGACCGTCTGTGAAGCTCCTTGCTGATCGCGGAGAGCGGCAGCAGCAGAAGCCAAAGCTTCAATGCGCTGATCGACATAAGCAGCAGTGGTCCCGACCGTCTTCCCCTGCCTCGACACGAAGCCTTCCAGCTCGAGCACCAAGCGCTGAGTTGATTGATCATGATGCTGCTGATATTCGGAGACGCGCGCTTGGACTGCATCTGTCAGCTTCGCTAGCGAGCCTTGATGTTGGTCGAGCAGGGTACGATTCGCTTGTTCCACGCCTTCTTTGCGCTCTGGGAAAGTCCAGCGAAACACCTAGCATCAATATTCGTCCTAGGCTCGTAGGCCTTTGCACTCCGAAAGCGCGACTCACCTATCTTGGCAAACAGCCCATTCACGTCCGCCGTGCTCTCACCGAGCAGGTGATTCAAACCAGACGCGACCTCATGAAGTTTGCGCTCGCTTCTAGCATAAGCCTCTTTGAGTGTGCGTTCCTCCTCCTCAGCTCTGACAAGCTCGTCAACCTGCTTGAGGGTGCGTTCCAGTTCCGCAGACTGAGCGGCAAAATCAGCTTTCGCAGCTTTCATCTCTCCATCCCTCTTGACGAGCAGCTGCATGTTCTGCGAGAGCTGCTCTCTCAAGCTTTCCATTCTGCTCTGCTCCACTTCTCTCTCCCTGCGCAGATCGTCCGTCTCGGACTTCTTGACGTCCAGCTCGTCGTTCATTGCTTTGTAACTCTCGTTGCTCAGGTAGAAGCCTTCCTTTTCGCGCGCAGCGACCAGATCCCTCTTGAGCACCGAGATCTCCTGCACATAGTCTTTGATCAGACCTGCCCGCGTCATGCGCCTATTCATCTCTGGCTTGTTCCTGATGGACTTGGCACGCAGAGCATAGTCCAATGTTGACAGGGTCTCTTCAACGTTGGAGCGCTCCGTCGAGACTGTTGCAATGATGCAAGTCTTTGTGCGACCTCCTAGAGATTCCTTGAGGATGCGAGTCAACTTCGATTCTCTATAAGGCACATGCTGCGTCTTCTCCACCAGCGCATTGATGACTCTGCCGAGCGTCAACAGACTCTGATTGATCATGCCCGCTTCTCGAGCGCGGTTGTTTTGCGCTCCACTTCGACCAATGTTCTCCGAGCCGGCCAAGTCTACAAGGTTCAGCTTGCCCGTCCGCATCACGTCTTCACCTTTGGGCGTCGTTTCCTTGATATGCACGGTCAGTGTGAAGATGGAATGCGAACGGCTGCGGGAGATGCAGCATGTCGAGCGTGAATAGGATGGCTCGAGCAGAGGCACGGCGAACATGGCCGTAACCTACTCACCTCGACTGCTCGTTGCATCTTGTAGCTGCGATCTGACGCTTCTGACTTCCTTTTTGCAAAAGCTTCAGTCCCGCTTCGGCATCGACCACGGGTGAATCGCTCATACCTTCGATGAAGACGCCACTTCGAGCTTTGTCGTTCTCAGTTTCGTACATCTTCAGACCCGCATCCTTGTTACCCTCCAGGGAAATGGGAGCATCGCTGGACAAGAGGTCGCGCAGCTTCTCGTTGTACAGCTCCATAAAGGTTGCATGAACGCTGTACTCGTTGCGTTGTAGCTCGAGCGTGTGAAAGAGTCGATAGAGCGTGCGAGGAATGATACCAGCTTCTGTCGAATATGTGCCCATTTGAGAGGTCAAGTCGCCCTCCATAGTGTGGCTTGATGTGGAGAAAGAGCGCATACACTGAGCAAAAGATTCCGCTCGCGCACATCTCAGCATCCACAACTCACGTCTTGCCGGTGCCAGTCTGACCATATGCAAAGATGGTGCAATTGTAGCCAGACAATACCTCATCCAAAATCGGACCCACGACATTCTGGTACACCATACCCTGATCGGCCTCTGGACCAAAGACGTGATCGAAATCGTACGTCTTCTCTCGCATGGCCAAAGGTTCGGCGAGCGGATCGACAGGCAATGAGGAGATGGATTGAGGTATTTGCGAGTCCAGAGCGACCGAGATGGATTGGCAGCGAGGTCCTTCGGTGGCGAGAATCGAATCCTTTGGCGCTGCATCGCCAGGTGCGCGTCCTCTGATGCCATCGCGCAGGGATTAGAGTGCGTCGTCAGCCGCAGTGCAAGGGACCAGACTCGGCACACATGCGGGCAAAGCAACCACGACTCACCTCACGCGCACGACCACCTGTATGTTTGAGGATTCCTCCTCATCTCTGCGTCTGCCCATCGCTCCTTGATTCACAGCACCGGGTGCTAGACTAGCAGCCCTTGATCTGCTTTCTGAGCTGGCTGGCATCGTTGCCGAGGATGCGGACCCTGTCACTGCCGAGCCGCCTCGTGAAGGGCCAGCTTGGGAAGGATTGCGAGAGGCCGGTGGTTTTGATTGACCGCTAGATGTGCTCGAAGCGAGTCCCTGGCGAGACATGGAAGAGGGAAAACCCACGCCGCTCGGTGCGGGTCTTCGTTGGGCCATAATGGCAAGATTAGAATGTGAGGTCGACACCAAGCTCTGGCTGGTGCTGCTGGGTTGAGGAAGGAGGAAGCACAGAGCGTGTCAGGCCACTCAGGAAACAAGTCGCCGCGGTGAAGCGTCTCGACGAATGAAAGATGAGCTTGGAGGTGTAAAGGATGGAGTAGTGGAAGTTGAGTGGGATGGAGCGCGCGATGCCGTTGAGGATGCCCAGCATCCATGGCGGCAAGCCAGCCGGCGCGTGGGGCGCGTTAGAGATCAACACCACGCGTTTCGCGCCGCGCGCTTTTCTCATCCGCACAACGCCTCATCACGTGAGAGGTGATTTGCACGCCCGCTCACAATAACGCGTGACGCCCATTCAAATTCAGATGTTGAATTCGGCTGCGCACGGTGCCTCGGTCGTTAGATGGTGTGGAGGTCGGCTGAGCAGCGAGTCGTGCGTGACGAGTGATGTTTGCAGATGCAAGTGATCCAACAGTCAGACAGTCTGGTCCTCCATCAGCTGCACTCACACTGTGACTATGTGAGCCGCACCGTATCACAGGCGATGAAGCATCACCCAGCCTAGAGTCTGTTGCGCAGCAGCATCCGAACCAGCGCACAAGCGGTGACTACCAAACCGCTCTGTCCCGTCGAGAAGCGTGCGATACCCACCAAGATAATTCAAAATTGCCTGACGAGCATTCTGGACCCCTTTTGCATGCGACGAGGCATACCGCCATCCAAGACGTCATTTGCGTTCGTCATGAGCCGCTCCAGCAACGTTAGACGGGAAGCACGTGAGTCTCTGCGTTCCTTGTGCGTCTCGTCACGATCTCGACGCCGCGAGGAAGCGCACCTGAGCAAGATGGGCTGACTCGTCGCAATGTCCTCCGTCTCATTCCGGAAAAATGATGCGTCGAGCAGCCTCGCAATCATTCGGCACGGATGTGGTGCACCTGCAGTACGATGTGGATGCTCCTCCCCCCTTGGCGAGCCCATCCCACGCCCGCTTCGTCATTCTATCAGATACTCACAGCACTGAGCCAGAGGTTCCAGACGGAGTCAGTACCGTAGCGATTACAGCCGTTGATTTGAAGATCGAGTTTCTGACGCACCTCCACCTCCCACAACCTGCAGGACGTGCTCATGCACTGCGGCGATTTGACAGACATAGGCACGCAGCACTCCTTTGAGCGCTTTCTGGATTGGTTCAGGTGGGTGGAACGCAGACTTGAGCGGGCGCGATTGCAAGCGAGCTTGAGACAGTGAGCGCTAGCTGACGCCAGCACATCGCATACATGTGCTCGTGCCTCAGGTCGCACCCACACCAAACAAAGATAGCCATCGCTGGCAATCACGATTTCGCCGCCGATAACAAGACGGGCTGGTGAGTGGGCAAGACGCACCAAGATTGTAAAGGATATGGCGAGCGCTACTTGGTCCCCCAAGCACTTGACTTACGCTCGAGAATCCTTGCCGACACTTCCAAAAGGTACGATCGGAAAGGCAGGTCGATACACAGGCAGTTCAACGAGCCTCAAGCAGACACCGCGCGCGTCTCCGAGCTGCTGCGCGAGAAGAGATCGGATGGCTTTGTGTACTTGGAAGATGAGAGGTATAGCTTTTCGATTGCGAGAGAGGGTATACGAGATAGAGTGTGGAACGTCTATGGAAGTCCGGTGAGCAGCAAGCGTGGTGAGCCCTAGCGCCAGGTATGGAGAGCACAGATTGAGTTGAGCCCTCGCGCCGTCCCTACCGTCTTCTGGAGCAGTGGACACCCAAATTTGGAGGCTGGGCTTGGAATCACGAGCGAGGAGCGGAGGTGAGTTGCGTGTCGGGTCGTGAACAACCTTGACATGAGGCAGGATCAGCGAGGGGCTGAAATATCTCGGCCCCCTTCATGCGGATTGATGGCAGGCAAAAAGTGAGCTCTCGGGGCGGCTATGATGCTCCAGCTGGGATAGGTGTACAGTGAGACTGACTACTCTCACGCACTCTCTGGCCGCCAACAGAGCTTTATGCGAATGTACCAACAGACGTCGACTTGCTCTTGACGCATGGGCCGCCCCATGGTTTTGGTGACCTTGATGTCATCAGGTATGGACGGTCACACGTGGGATGCGAAGAGCTCACGCGGAAGTTGACTGCTGGCGAGCTAAGTCCCAGGATCCATGCTTTTGGGCACATTCACGGTGAGCAATTGGCTCCATCACAGCCATCCCCATCGTAGGGTGTCTCGAGCTTACGTGACGGTTGCGTGGCGCAGAGGCGCGAGGTATGTTCCGTCAACAGTGGCCTAGGGAGAATCATCGACCCCATCACGATAGACATGCACCAAATACTCTGTTCATCAATGCCGCCTTGGCTGATATGGACGCTGCGCGATCCCAAGCGCATCAGACGTGTGAGTGACGCGACTCGATTGCACTCGATGTAGCGCCTTGCTGACCCTCTGCCGCTTCTGAACGACCACTCGTGTAGTCAAGTATCGAGTCCAGCATCAGTAGGTCGTCCCATCGTTGCTAACTTTCTACGACGCAATCTCATCGCTGTGTCTCCAATCCCGATTGCAGGCCCATCATCGTCGACTTGGATTGCAGACTCTAGACGCACGCAAAGAGCACCTTACCGGACATCACAGCCTCTCTGACGGCACATTTTATTATTGCGTCCCAGCTACATCAGTCGGACCTTCTGCACATCTGCGCCAGAACACGTGACCCGCATCCATTCGATCGAAGGCGGCGCTCCCGACTCTCGTCATTTGCACTTCTCGGTCAGCCATCGCGGCGAACCCTTGACATCTTGTCTCACGCCAAAGAAGCTGCCTTGGCTCTCGACTAGCGGCCACTGGTGTGGGGATCCATGTACAAGGACGGCTTGCTTGCAGCGGGACCCATCAAGAGCTTGCAATCGTGCTTTCGCACTGGCATTCGGTCCAAAGCGATTTGCCTAGATGACGCCATTCGAACGAAGCGAAGCGTAGGTGTTTCTGGGCGACCGATGGACCGGTTTCGCGTGCCCATACATTGGATACAGTGAGCCCGTCTCGGGAAGGTGCGCAAGGCCCGCTTCGCGAATGTCCCACGCAATCGAATTGGATATGCCATCTTCGGTCTCACAGCTCAGCTGATTGCGTGTGCGCAAATCGAAGTCTGAGGGAACGTGCTAAGCAGGTCCCTTTTGGGCCGGCAAGACTACATACTGCTCAGCAAGGCAGCATCGACGAATGTGAAAGCTATTCTGTCGGACCGAGCTTTGCTGATGGAGGCGATGCGATACGCATTAATCTCGGCCTCCGAAGAGGCCC